TCTAACAATCGATTATTTTTATTCTTTCATCTAATTTGTTTCGCTATTTCGAATTGAAATTTTTATACTTTTGTAACATTGCAATAACGAGTGGCACCTGTGGTTTGAAAATTTTAAAAAGTGGTCTTGTTGGACCTGCTCCCATAATAGATTTAATGTATGTTTGCATTTCCCAAACTACTCAAGCTAAAGCATTAAATTTATATAGAAAATAGATGGAATCACGCCCACTACCGTTATAGCGGCTTTCCCAAAAACTAAAAGTGCGATAAATCACTAACTTAATGCGTTAGAGGCACTAAATTTTAGTTACAGGGCGACACAAGAGGATTTTATAGGAGCAGGTGTCAAACTTAATGGTCTCCAACCCACGACAGTTGGTTCTATGTAACCGGAACAGACCCGAATTATTATCTGACCAAGGATGCCAACTCGGCACCATTCCTGAAAATAACTTCAAAAATGTTTTCTGCCGCTACAATAAAACCATCTCCAGATCTATTCGACCAATTTCATTCAAACTTGTTTATATTGATATTCCAGATATGGGAATTTTGGAGCCTAAAGCCTACCACTGACTTTTATAAAAATATCAATCAATGTGTGAGATATATAATCAAAATTATGAGAGTCCTTTCCTGATAAAAAAAAAAAATCCATTTCGAGTTTCCCTACTTTTTAAAAGAAAAGATCACAGGAATTTCAAATTTAATATGGAATGCTTATTATCATACGAATGGCATTTATTTTTTGAAGATTATCTCTTTCAAATGTTGGTAGCGGCCTACGCCTCAGATAGTTCATCTGTTGAGCCCAATTTTTGATGAATCGTTTGAGYATTTCGACTGGTAATTGGCGAATGACACGCATGATGTTTTGTTCCAAGGTCTGAGTCGCTGCGGGATTGACCGCATAGACTTTAGATTTTACACATCCTCACAATAAAAAGTCTAACGATGTGATATCACATGATCTTGGTGGCCAATCGACCGACTCAAAACGTGAAATTAACTGCTCATCGAAATGTTCTCTCAATAAATCCATTTATTGATGCGACGTGTGGGAAGTGGGCCGTATTGTTGAAATCAAATGTAGCCGTGATCACGTGCTTCAATTTCAGGCCCGATAACGGTCGCCATTGACTGTTACATTCTCATTTTTGAAAAAATATGAACCRATCATTTCACCGGTTCACAAAATACATCAAACCGTTGTCGTTTCTGAATGAGATGRCAGCAATTAAACCGCTTCAGGTTGCTGTTCGCCACAAATGAGGCAATTTTGCTTGTTTACATTCTCTTTGGGCCAAAAATGGGTGTCATCACTGAACAAAACTTGGCTCGACAACGTCGAATCTCCTTAGAACTTTTGAAGAGCCAATAGAGCGAAGCGATTTGCTTTGGGAAGGTCGTGCGGCTTCAGTTCTTGCCAAGTTGTACTTGGTACGCTTTTAACTAAAGATCTCGACTTCAAATGCGCCGAATCGACTCTCCACGGCCTTCGTGTACACTATCAGCGCGCGAAACACATTCTTTACAGAACGTTGTTCAGACGTCTTTCCATGATAAAATGCCAAACAATACTGAATAAAAATAACATGACTTGACTACTTAGATAACCATAACCCATTAGTTATATTGGACTCAAGTTTTATTTTCTATTTGGCGATAGATGCTCTYAAACTACGTTATCCGAACTAAATTTCTCGGTTAGATATCTACGATCTAATTCGGTACGTTTAAGCGCTGAACACGCTCTGAAAGGAAAATATAGTTTAGCTTATTAATCGCTTTCGTATTTTCTCATAATTTACTAACTTTAAAGAACTTCGAAAATTACATATTTTACTTTGACTTTCCTCACTCATTATKGTTTAATTTTCTGCAACACAGATGTGGTGTCCACCCACGCCACCGCAAGACGACAACGACATCTACATCGACTACTCGTTGACATTTATGTACGAGATGAATCCAATACCGGAGGTCGAATTACCACCAGTCTACATTAAGAAGGACTACAAGCGTTCGCGATGTGATGCCGGCTTCGCCATGGATGGCAGTCGTAGGCCATTGAAAATGCGACGTGAAGACAATTACGTAGCGCCACGTTCACTCTTCGATCGGCCATCGGCGGCAATAGCGCGCATACGACGCGATCTGAAGAATCAACGTTATCGCGGCGTATTCAAGCCGAACGTGCAAATACCCGGACTAAAACCACAAACACCGCAGAAGCAGCTGGTGGAACCCGAAGGCATGGCCGAGTGGACCATCTTCGAAGATATTGTAATATTGCATGTACTGGTGAATCTACAAGGGCTACCATGCAATTTAATGGTGCTCTCACCGGGACACACACCAAACTGGGATCTGGTGTCGGAAATTGTGAATTTCCAGGCGAAAACCTTCCGCTCGGCGAAACAATGCCGCTGGCGCTACGAAATGGTTATACAGCCGCGTGAGGAGGGCAAATTTGTAGAGAGTCCAAAGAAGCAGAAGAAAATGAAGGCAATGCTGAAGTCGGAATATCTGAAAGGACCACTGCGCTATCTACGCACCACACAACTCTATGCGAACGACAACAACACCAGCTTCACGAAGCTGATGCGTTCACGTTTCGATTGCATCAAGGCGGCGTATCTGAAGAAGGCGCCACCGCCCAAACGCCACTTCAGCACACCGAATCTCATGAATCCCAAGCACATGGAAGTGCTGCAGGAGTTCGGCATCGGCAATTACGATCAACCGATTTCGCCGTTGAATATCGCTGCCATGAAAGCGAACAAGATACGAGAGAAGCAGCGCAGTCAGTGTCCACCGCCGCCGCCACCGGTGCCCACGCAAGCAGTGCCCGTGCAACAACAAACAACTGCCGTGCAAATACAGGAAATGGTTGTGCAACAGCAGCAAAATGTCAGCGCTGGCGGCGCGTCCACAATGCAACAGCTGCAGATCCAGCATATACCCAGCGGCAATGTGCAGAGCGTCACCCAGCAATCTACCGCCACCGCCATTGTGCTACAACATGCGGGCGCTTTACCGGTGTCGCATCAGCAGCAAACCGCCGGCAATGCAGCGACACAATCACAGCAGCAGCAGCAACAACAGCAAATCTTACGCGCCGGCATGGGTAATACGCAAATCGTTAAGGCGATAGTGGCACCACAAGCGGGTCTCCTAACGGCGGGCCAAATGCAACAATTAACGCAACAAGCGGCGGCGGCAGGCGCGCAACACGTACAATTGCAGCAGCAGGGCGGTAACGTTGGCTCCTCATCTACCGTGTCGGTCGTGTTGACCACGCCCGTGCAAACGCTAAGTTCCAGCGTACAGTCGGCGCAGCAACATGTGCAGTCTTCCAACGCGCAAATCGTCTCGATTTCACCGCAAACTATAGTCTCCAGCGGCGCATCACAGAGCGGCGGCAGTATCGTGCAGACAATACCGTCACAAACGCTGCCGCAAGTGGTGTCCGTATCGCAGCTGGCCACAGTCGGCACCGTGCTCACGACATCGGCCAACTTACAGCCGAGCGGGACAGTGACCACATTGAATACGTCGGCGTTGCGCGCWCAACGCATTGTTGCCGCCACCACTGGCGCGCTACAGGATGTCGTGCTGCAACAGCGCAGCGGCAATCCCAGTCCAACCATCGTCTCCATGTCCAATTTGGGTCCCAGCGTAGCGGCGGCACAATTCCAAGCTGCACAGTTACGACTCACATCCATGCCAGGCACCACGCAGCAGGTGACCAAGGTGCCGGTCAGCACGYTGCAGCAGAGCGCCAAACTTACAGSCAACGTGGGCGGCAATGCACCGCCGCACATACAACTCTATCGCCAGCGCCAACAGCTCAAGGTGTTACAAACCACAACCGGACAAGGCRGCGGTCAAACACTCGTACAAACGGCCAGCGGTCAAACAGCGCTCGTCAATGCCGCCGGCACCATTATACAAGGCAGTCTCGTACAGACCGCCGGTGGCCAGGCCACAATGCAGGTGCAAGGACAAAAGGTCGCCGTCGCCACGGTCTCCTCATCAAATATGGTGGCCGCGCCGAGTGGCGGTGTTGCTGCCTCCGTGGCCACAGTACAAGTGGCACATCAAGGACGCACGCAATTCATCAAGCAGGTGGCCGGCAAGCAGACTATTGCACGTCAAGTGGGCGACGATATGGTGCTGGTCAAGCGACAGGTGATCGGCGCGCATCAGAAGGCGCAAGTGCTGCAGCAGGGCCAAATATTCAATACGACGGCCACCACTGCGCAAGGCACCACCGTACAACTGCAACAGCAACAAACACAAGGCGGTGGCGGCAGCGCGCAACAACAACTGCAAGCGCAACAACAGCAGCAGCAACAACAGGTGCAACAAGTAACGGCTCAGCAAATAGCAACGCTGGTGAAGACCTCATCCGGCGCCGGTATAGTACAGCAAGGTGGCGGCGGTGTTACCGTCTCYACCGGTGGTGGCCAACAGCAAGGCACCACCGTAAATATGGCGTTGTCGCACCTCAAACCCGGCGGTCAGATAAAGGTCACCACATCCATGGCGAATCAGGCGCAAATGCGTCAGTTGCACATGCAACCGTTGAATATGCCACGCAAAATCAATCGCATGACACAGATCGCCACGGGCGCACAGGGTGGTCAGCAGGTGACCACTTCAGTGGGGCAGTCGTCAGCCGGCGCCACTGTGGTGCAACAGCCGAAGGGCGCTGGTGGCGTACAGACGCAATTGGTGCACATACAGAATACGAAATCGCTGCCCAGTTCGGTCACAGTGCAGCAAATACAGCATGTGATGCGTCAAGGACAGCAGGGTTCGCTGGCCGCCACGGGTCTGGTGCTGAGCAAGACCAGTGTGGGACGTGTAATACCTGTGTCGGTGGCATCGCAGTCGAATCAGCGCCAAACCATTCAGGTGAGAAGAAATGTAAGCGAAGCGATGAAAGGAAGTCGGGTAACACCTTTTCCATAATTTATTATCGATATGTATATATTAGTAGAACGGTAGAAATTATAAAAAAAGTAGTTAAAAAGTATTACTAATATGGCCTAATTGAATTAAAATTTCGGATATGTGGCAACACCTTAAGCAACTTTTGAAAACAAAAATATTAGTTTGATATTTTTTTTGTTATAATGCTTTTATCTTATAAATTAAATTTAATGAAAAATATAAATAGGTGGCAACGCTCGTCAATCATCGATTTTTGTCTATTATACAATTTTTGTTCACACAATTTTCTTAAACGCCATTAATTGTCTATATAAAATAAACTTGATATTAAATTTTCAAACAAGTGGCAACTCAGTTTTATGGAATTAAGCTTGTCAACGCTCTGAACAATGTTTTTGGAATTTTACCTCCAGAATTTTACCTTTCTTCTTGTAAAATATGCTTCTGTTTCTTTTTCATACAATTTTCAAACAGCTGGCACCCTTGTCCCGTTTTGGTTTTAATTTATAATTAACTGCCATAAACATTTTTCCTTTGTAAAGTATTATACTATTTTTCATCAATTTTTTTTTAAATAAAATTTTCAAACAGGTGGCAACCTTGTAGCGTTTTGATTTAAATTCATAATTCACTTCCACACCTTAATAAATCTCACTTTTAAAGATATAAAAGTATAATACGCCAACAAACAAAAAACAACAAGAAAAATTTATAATAATAATAAAAAGTAAAGTAAAAGTTTAATTAAAAGAATTTATTTAATTTAAAAATATATTTAATTGAAAAAATTAATAAAGCTTCCTCTCTCTCCCGTCCTCCCCCACAACAGGTGGTTTCCGCCGCTTCCGCGCAAGCAGCACTCGCCGCCGGCAATCTGCGCGCCCACGTCACYAGCGGCCAAAACATTGCCGGCACCATAAAGGTGGGCACCGCYGGTGGCARTCAATCGCAAACACAACAGACAATACATTTGATACAACAACAAGTGGCTGCACAGCAAGGCCAGCGACAAAATGCCAGTCCGGTGCGTCTGCAAACGGCCGGTGGCAATTTGGTGGCAGTCGTACAACAACAAAGCATACAACAGCAACAACAACAAGGTATGAACACATCCAGCATAGCGAACTCATCGGGTGCGGGACAAGGTGAAGTGATGACCATCACACAAACGATAGCCACCTCTAGCGGTGGTGGCGGCGGCGGCTCTGGTGGTGGTCAACAGCAGCAACAACAACAACAAACCGTGCAGCAATCGACCGCACAACAGGTGCGCACGCTGGTGAAGAAGAAGATCATGCAAATACGCARCGAAAAGGAGTAAAAGTGCACCTCCGTCGTGGTTGCTTACTTTACAAAAACAAAAATAATAATAAGCAAAAAACAATGATAGGCAAAAACAAAATCAAAAATGTGTGGAAAATAGTGTCGATTGTGAGAGTGCTTTACAATTGCCCCGAAGAGTCCAAGAGTATTATATTCGTAAAGATTATGTTTAATTCTAGAACTTTCTGTTTCAACTGCAGAAATATTGAACTGGAAAGAATATATAAAAAATATACACATTTACAGTTATATATGAATAAATAAAATTGTATGTGTAATCTAATGGCAAATAAATATGCTAAACGCATAGTGTTTGTTGTTGTTGTTTTTTTTTTTTTTAATTTAACTCGTTAATTATTCACAAATTAACTACAAACTCACACACACACTCATTTTTCCATATTTTACGATTAATAAATAAATATATATATTTTTTACAATTAAAACTGAAACTAAATCGCTCATGTACTTCTATGCTCTTGTAATCTTCACTGTAATTATAATTTTAAGCAAATATTTTTAAATTTCAAGAAAATAAAAACAAAATAAAAATACATTTTAAGCAAATGTAATCATACAAATACAATAATGTGGTAACCGTACATAATTATACTTAAACTAAATTAAATTAAAAGCCTAAATATAGACTCACTCATTTAAAATAAAAATAAAAAATCTTACTTTTTTATTTGGTTGCGAAATTAATGATGCGCTTACACTGTGACAGTAAAATGCAAAATATTTAATTATACATCAGTACTTATTTTGCTGCCTTCAAAGTCATCCCCAGCAGATGTACTTAATACACGTATGCCAACGATTCTTCCAATCGTCGAAACACTTCTCGTAAGCACTTTTTGGGATGCCCTTCAGCTAATTTGTTTTATCTCTTCGATCCACTGAAAACGGGTTACACGGGGCGGCGATTTGTGTTTGGGGAACAGCAAAAAATCACACGGAGCCAAATCTGGTAAATACAGTGGTTGATCGATGGTACCCTTTTTGAAAAAAAAATCCACCTTTACAGGAACAAGTCGAGCAAGAACGCATTTCATACCCAAATTCATTCGAACGTACTCTCTTACCATCTCTCTAACACTTGCCTGATAATTTTCTTATACTTTTTTAATATTTAAATCTGTTGAAGATGTCGAAGGTTCTCTTCAGCGATCTCTAGACCGTCTTTGTTCGCTTAATACCATTCGTAGGCTTGTGTTTTTCCCATGCTGCCCCAGCACTGTTGCAATAGCCTCTACGACTTCAGCCGATTGGTCAACAAATGATCTCCGAGGAGCTCAAAYAGGCAGCATGACTCCAAATGTTCCCATCAAAATAATGGGTAAATAGACGCGAGTAAGCTCTGGACTACTGTCAAAGCATTGTCTAATCCGGGTTGAAACTCAGTTCGATGGTTATGTTCGGTTCGGAGTGTCATCAACGTTGCAAAATCTTCCTAACTCATTTTCCCAGACTTCTTCCATTTTCCCGATGTGTGGAAAGTGGGAAGAGCGATCACACTACCGAAAGATGGAAAACCCGTGAACAATGGAAGACTCGCCTGATAACTCTGCTTTCAACATTTTTAAAGACACTTGAGGCCACTTCAGCCTTTTTCCGACGTTCACTCACCACCTGAGTTTAGCAGATCATCAACATGGCTTCCGTAAAGTGCACATACAGTTTTTAGTGTCATTAATGTTCAACTAGTTCAGAGTCTAAATCAAAAGCCACCCTGTATGTGGACGATCATCGTAGGGTAGGACTTGCCAAAAGATTTTGACACAATCAAACATACAACTTTACATTACAGTTGATAACGTCAAAATTCCGACTGTTAATAATCCTAATATTTTAGGTGTAACATTCGACAGGCTGTGCTCCTTCACTCCTCAAACGATTGCGATAACTGTTCAAAGTACAGACCCGCAAAAAAAAAAAAAAACAAAAAACTAAAATCGCTATTCCGCAGCCCATAAGGAAAAAACAAAGAGACGTTGCTGGCAATATACAAAGCGATCGGCCGGACAGTTTTAAGCAACGCCACATCGACATGGTTGCTTGGTGGATCGCAGTTGAGCAAGCTTCAGATGTGTCAGAATATTGCACTCCGAACTACAACAGCATGCCTCTTGACGTGTGCGATCGAACATTTGCATAGCGAAGCCCGTATACTCCCGAATTTACGATAATATTCTAGAGATGTTTTCGAATGAATTAAGATATTTTTTTTATTGCCGTGAAGCTATTTACCCCTTAAATGTTGGCAAGACAGAGCTAGTATTGTTTACTAACAGAACTCCAGAAGYTATGCCACCATTATTAATAGGAGATAGGCTTGTCCAAGGGACTAATTTTTGGTCAGAAAGCTTTCATGTAGACYAAACTTAAATGCTATAGTAAAGAAAGTCCAATGGGGATTAACGAATCGGGTAACTTATTTACCCTTTACATTTATTGTAAGCCCGATTATGACATACCGTATATTGGTAAGGTGAGCATTACTGGAAAAGATATACGCGGTGAGGTGCATGGAAAGAAAATCTCGCATAAAGAACAGGGTCAAGTTCGGCCTCTAGACGTCATTTTACATTTGCATAGGAGAAGAATCGTAACTTTCCGTCGAGTGTTTATTCACGATATGTCGGAGTTTATACAGAYAAAATTTTTTGTACTGATAAGCTTCATCAGAAACATTAGACGGTTCAGAGAGGAGATAACGAGTGAGGGTGTTTTAGTAGCGGTGGTTTCACAACGCACCTCCTAAGGGTCAAGATGTGCCATCAGACAACCACACCGCCTAACTACCTACCTTGGCATAGATTATAGCCCAGGGCACCTCTACAATCTCTAATTGTTGAGATCGGACCACTATCCACCACGATCATTATAACTTCAAAGAAATATGAAAAAACAACGCGCCAAAAATATAAAACATCCGACTTTCTGATCTTTGTAAKACGTTTTTGAGTTGGCAGACGACCGCTGGTACCGATTAATTTAAAGGCCTCTAGCTGCTGAACTCAGAAATTCAAAAATATGCCTGTTTTGCTTTCAAAGGTTGTATTTATATACACAAAGCATCGCTGGATAGRATATACATACTTAGCCAATTGGACTATGGTGTTACTTCGGCACATCTTTTGTCGAGGGACCCTTTTGGGAAGATATCTGCTTCTAAGAGGTATATTTATAAACCTTTTTCGAATTAATTTAAAGAACACTTCGGCAAAGAAAGTAAAAATGTACTATTTTTATGAAATATTTCTTCTTACATTGCATACGATACATCATCCCTTAAACCACACTAGCATATACTCGTAAATGCCGGTCGCTGTTAACTCCAACAGCTGACGTCAGTTTGCCATAGCAACACACCTACGACGACGTAAACAAATCAACAAATGCAAGGTAATTTTCACAAGCTCAGCACTTCCACGCGGACAGCTGTGACTGTTCAYAACGCGTTATGCAAAACCAGTCAAGCACGTCATGTCGCTCTTCAACGTTTGCAACTGGTGGCACACACAGTGCTCCGATCTGGAGGARAAYTACGACGTGGCCAGTTTGTTGTGCGCCCGCTTCGGACTCGATGACAATGAAAAGGATTATGTGGTGGTCGGCTCGCATAGCGGCAATTTGAGCATTTTCAATCCGCGTCTGGAACAAAATCGACGCATCGAAGATGGCAATGCCTTTCGGCCAACGGATTTGTTGTTGGAGGTGAACCTTAAACAGCCYATATTAGGCATATATGCGGGACGTTTCAGTGGGTGAGTGTCGTCGCATTGAAAAGACGCTTGAATTTATGATACTTTATGCGCTCTCTTATCAAATCAGTGGTCAAATGACCGATGAGAAGCAGAATCAACTGGCCGTGCTGCATCCACGTTCGGTGGTCATATACAAGTTAAGCGCGATTGGTGGCGTTGCTGAACATGGCGCRCAATTGCGTCTGCAATCCTTAGCCGACTATAAGCTGAAGCGTGGCGCTTTAGCTTTAACGAAAGGCTCGTTTGGGCGCGTCAAAGGACGTGAGTTCTTCTGCATTACACACTTGGATGGCACGTTGACCTTTCACGAACAGGATGGCATTTTGTATGAGTGTCAATTGCCGGGCAATCGTGCATTGCCAGTACCGGTGGTCTATTGTGAACGGACCGATAGTTTCTTTCGTTTTACAGCGGGTTGGAATTTAGAGTGCTTTACGTACGTACTTATAACGGTATATGGTATCTGAGATAAGTTTTGGTATTTACTGTTTTTTGAAATCTAATTTCATAGCTATCAAGATCTTTCCCACTCCTCTCTTAATCGTGCCGAGTTCAAGCCGTCGTGGTCGGTGTGTATTGGTGAGGGTATTGTGGATATGTGTGTGGTACAGGCGAAGTCGTAAGTAATTTTAATGGTGCTCTTTTTTTAACTATATAATTTTGTAATTTTATATTTCTAATTTAAAAGCAACTCCGCTTCGATTATGGTTTTGGGCGAGCGCAATTTTATATCTTTAACCGATGATGGTCTTGTAGACTTCATACTGAAGTTGGATTATACACCAAGTTGCTTTTACTCGTTTGTGGTCGGCTACTACTGGGGTAATATACTATTTTGAAAATGATTTTACATTTTCCTAGTCTATCGTGTATGATAACATCTCAGGCTTGAAATAGTGGAGAAAATTGTAGCTTGTTGCCRTAATGGATAGATTTTAGGACTAATTGGGATGTCTGAAACTTTAGCTTACCGGGTTGCTGATGAGTGTTCTCATAGAGTAGGAGTGCAAGTTGAGTAGAAAATCGTTCCGCTGTATGTTGTTATTGTAGCTTCTTGACGTCGAATCTTCCATATGCTTGTTGAAGTGCGTGTTTTGAGGCACAGAGGCGAGTGCGTATCTTGGCTACAAAAATTAGTCGTTCGATTCAATGTTAGAASCTCAGAGCGTATCAGAGCGTAAATCAATCTGGTTGGTGGCTTTTCGATCCCGAAACAACCAGCTAGCTTCATGAAATTTCCTATGCTGGAATCTAGTACTGCAGATAAAATATTTCGGGCTCTGGCGAAGTCGATCAGCCTCAACCCATTTGGGGATGTTCATAATGGTGGTTGAATTTACTGACCGTTAGGCAAAAGATACCTTCTTTGCCCAACCTGG